AAAAAAAAAACAAAAAAACTGGCTGTACTTGGAATTGACTTCTGGGCTTTACATTTGTTAGACAGGTGATTTGTGACTTAAACCATGCCTTTAGTCCTTTTCACTCTGGTTATTTTTGCAATATGGTCTGTGATTTTGCCCATTTATACTTCCTATAATAGCTGGACTGACAGACATATGCCACCAACCCAGCTTTTTCTGTTGAGACAGAGCCTTGAGTACTTTCCTGACAGGAATAGCCTTGGATTCTGATCCTTTAGACCTGAACCTCCTGAGTAGCTAAGGTAATCAGGCATAAGCCACTGAGGGTGTTTTTTAAATATCACCTTGGTTCTAAAGTGGCCAGTTTTCCACATTCATGAAGTCAGGTAAAAAGTATAGAGACTCATTCTTATTAGTCCACCCTGAGCTGGCTTTCTAGGACACTTTCCCGAAAGAGAAAAGGTGTTTCAAAACTGGTTTTGCCAGAAGGGAGTCTTGAAGATCTGAGACTGGTTGGCAGACTCAACATTTCAACAAAACAAGCACAAAAGAAAAACAAAGACATGTAACAGATCTGCCTGAATTTTCGGGACAATCTATGGTGTGTGATTTTAGGTGAGTGACAATGAATTTTTAAAAATCTGTATACTAGGCTAGGGGTATGGCTTGGTGGTAAAGCAAGTGCTTAGCATATGCAAAGCCCTGTGTTCAAACCTCGATGCACATGCACATACACATGAGTGTATTCATGTGCGTGTGCGGGTGCGCGCGCGCACACATACCACATACACACACACACACACACATCTGTAACCTTGTGTAGGGATGAAGGTTTTTCAAAGCGGAAGGAGTCATGTTGCACAGTTATAATCCTAAGGATTCCTACTGTGGTTACAAACCCCAGGCCAAAAGGAAGCTTGGGAACGTTTCAGAGAAAATCAGTGAGTACTTCTTTGGGGCATGTGTACAGACTTTTAACAAATCAAGCCGACTGTCCTCAAGCATTTCAAATGTGTTCTTTTGAGGTTAGGAACTCACAGATCTGGTTCCAGGAGGAATGATGTGCGAAGTATGTGAATTAGGATTCTTTTTTTCCTGTTTCAGAGCTTTTCTAAACTCTATTTGGACTTAACGTGTTCCTGTCCTGGCTATTTTTCTGGGATCCTAGCAAGTAAAAGGTCCAGATTAGCAGCAAACCTCCCTCCCTCTCTCCCTCTTGCTACTGCTGATATAAGTGGGGCACAAGCTGTCCAGCCTGGATGGGCCCAGAACAAAGGTCTAATAGGGAGTCCTTGGAGGCTCTCCCTTCCTATATCTCCTGTGTCCCAACTCTCCCACTCCTGCCTCCTTCTCCCAGACTTCCTCCTTCAGTTCTCCTGCAGTGCTGGTGGGTATTGAAGTTAGGTTCACAAAAGGATCGGTGGTATAAAGCCTTTCAGTGGGAGTTCGACAAGAGAAAATAGACAAGAAGGAAACTGGATAGCTGAGCTGACAGGAACATCATGGAGAAGGCTGCAGATGTCATGGAGGACAGCATCCAGGGCATGAGGAGCAACACCTGGGAAAATAACAAGGCCATTCCTCTTTACAGTCTTTTCTTTTTTGACAGGCCCTAAGGTCACAGCAGAACCAAGCATGCAAACCCCTAGACTCAAGGCTTAGGGGGCCTGGTTCACAGGCACTTCAGCCCACATTTCTCACTGTCACGTTCTTCAGTGGTGAACACACATTACTCCTCACCTCCCAACCCCCAACCCACCCCTGTGTGATGTCATGGCATCTGTGTGATGGAGTTTCCAATCCATTACATATGTGGGGAAACTAGTGAGGAGTTTAAGCTACCAAAGCAGTCCCCAGGCTGAGCTGGGAACACACTAAGCCTCCTGTGTTCTGCAACCGCAAGATGGCAAAGGATGGTGAATAGCAGGTAAGGCCACCGGATTGGATGGCTAATGCTACAGTTTGATACTTTGCTTCACAAGAAGTCTTTCACTTTTCCTTTTCAAATTGTAAGTAACTGTAGACAAGGAAGTCCATGGTGTGTGTGTGTGTGTGTGTGTGTGTGTGTGTATACGTGCCAGTCCTAGGGATTGAACTCAGAGCCTGAACACTGTCCAACTTTTTTTTTTTTTTTTGCTTAACTCTAGCACTCTATCACTTGAGCCACAGCTTCACTTCTGGCTTTTTAGTGGTTAAGAGGAGATAAAAGTCTCATGGATTTTCCTGCCCAAGCTGGCTTTGAACTGAGATCCTCAGATCTCAGCCTCCTGAGTAGCTAGGCTTACAGGCACAAGCCACTGGTGCTCAGCCATGATCCCTTTTAATCTTACCTATGGTGCTAGTATAGAGCTCAAACTTTAAGAAGAGAAGTAATTTCATTATTATCAAAAAGGAGGATCATCTTGTAAAATTTTAGTCAAATGTATTTACAAGGTTTGTAGACAGTTATAAATAGGGAAAATCTTGACTGTCACCCACAAAACATGTAACACAGGCTCTAAAACAAACAGCTCTCAGGTCACAGGACCTCTGGACTTACCTTGAACTTCGACATAGATGGGGTCAGACACAATCTCTTCATTGTTTACTTTGGTCTTACAGATATATGACCCATTGTCCGAGCGCTGCACACTGGTTATGCTTCAAGGAAAAATACATAAAAATATTTATAGTGACCATCCTGAGTTGATGTAACAGTAATAGAAGACTCATCAACTTCTTATTGCTATGCTATGCTGGCAGCCATGGAACCTGACTGGTTGTTCAAACACCATCTAGACATTGCTATAAAGGCATTTTCCATCCAAAACACACCGCTACCACTGAAATTGGCAGCTTTTAAGTAAAGTTGACTACACCTTCCCCCCAACATGGATGAGCCTCATCTAATCAGTGCAAGTTAAGTTCTCTGAGGAAGAGGGCATTTGGCCTCCAAACTGCCTTAGAACTCAAGGCTACACTATCTCTTCCCTGGGTCTCTAACCAGTACCTGCTGATTTCAGATTTGCCATAGTCCTCTTATTGTACAGGAAAATGTCTTAAGTCTATCTTTTCTCTGCAGAATCATGTGACCACCTCTCTGTGGAGACTCAAGAGGAAAAGCTATGAACTCAAAATAGTAAATGGGAGATTCAAAGTCAGTTCTAGGAAAGCAGACCATAGAAAGAAAAGGAGGGGAATGGGCTGGTAATGTGGCTTAGTGGTAAGAGTGCTTGCCTAGGACATGAAGCCCTGAGTTCCATTCCTCAGTGCCACATAAACAAAAAAGGCTGGAAGTGGCGCTAATCTTGAGCCAAGCAGCTCAGAGACAGTGCCCAGGCCCTGTGTTCAAGCCCCAGGACTGGCCAAAAAAAAAGAGGAAAAAGAAAAAGAAAAGAAAAGGAGGGAATCACTCTAGAACAGACCATTTGGACTTTCCTAGCAAGGACCTGCAGTGGGCAGCATAGTGGGAGAGAAAACTCCACCCCGGAGCTTCACCGGGAAAGATTACATCTCTAAGACCAAGCAAATCACAGAGATTTCCAGAGAGATGGAATGCACACCTTTTAGGAGTGAATTGGACCAGAATCACACTTCTAAGGGTAATTCTGGGAATCAAAAGAAATACGTGAATGGCTTCAAAATTATCACAGGATAATTATTTTCCTTGTGTTCTACCAAACTACTCCAAGGTCAGGATGATGAAAAGGGCCTTTTCCAACATGTGAAGCTCAAGAAGTTAGTGGACAGAGGGCTCCATGCCAAAGTGAGGGATGAAAAGCTGGGAAAGAGGGGCTGGGAAGTTGGCTCAGTGGTAGAGCACTTGCCTTGCATGCCTGAGGCCCTGGGTTCGATTCCTCAGCACCACATAAGCAAAAAGAAAAAAGCCGGAAGTGGACTGTGGCTCAAGTGGTAGAGTGCTAGCCTTGAGCTGAAGAGCTGAGGGACAGCACCCAGGCCCAGAGTTCAGACCCTGCAACTGGACCAAAAAAAGAAAAAAGAAAAGCTGGGAAAGAGGGAAAGGTGAGTTCCAGAAGACAGAAGAAGTGTAGGGGTCCCCAGAATGACAGCAAAGAGGAAGGGTTTGGGCTGGACCTGAGGGAAAGCCACTATAGGCTGAAGCAGGATGGGGGGAACAGGTCACATGTCTTCCAGAAGGAAAACAGCTTTGATAGTTCCATCACTGTGAGAGAAGGGCTCAGTGTTTTCCTGTGGAGTTCAGGGAGGATGTGGTTGATACTTAGAAAAACTAAGAAAACCAGCAAGCAAGGAAACTCTTGCAT